GTAACTGCGCTGGGTCTCAATGCTACCCTACGGCAGCTACACTACAGCGCACATGTACTTGCCCATGTGTAGGTAGGTACTTACCTATAGGTACCTATGTACCTATGTAGATTCTGCTGGGTCTGTACTTCGGTACCTACACATGTACCTTCAGTCATTCACTGATAGCAGCAGAATGCGTGAATAAATATATGTAGTATGGAGATAACAGAGACGTTACTGGATTCACATCGTTTAGGCAGTGAACAAGTGTTTTAGAATCATACGCCTTCTGTATCGAGACTAGACGTTGAGATGCATCCTTCTTGATCAAGTATGGCACTTCTTCGACGCCTGCTGCCAGGGAACCGGTATTGCCTCATTGGATACTACTTCGATGCTACAGTACCTACTTCGAGCTAGCTAATCACGCCCACACACAACTCTCCCATTCTCCCATTCTCCCATCACAAACAAGTACCGTGATATCCGTCTATCTAGCTTCATCTCCGCCTCTCATTAGGGGCACCTAGAGGTGTCTTGGTGCGGCCGGAAACGTACTCGCGCACCTAGTCTTACTGCAATGTAGTCGGAGCCGAGGGAGTATCTGTAGTGTAGAGATCATCCCAATGTTCGTCTTGAGGCCGGTGGAGAAACTGCCCACAAGTCCACCTCAGGCTAGATAGATCGTGGTTAGAGTACCACGCAGGTTCTAACTCACTGTGGTATATTTAGGCACATTGTGCTGGTTTCGCTGGTTATCGATCCGGTCAGTAGGGGCAAGGGGCTTGCTCTTCGGTCCCGTGATAACAAGTCTGAACAAGGGAACCGTCCCGTCCCACGGTAGAGCCCACGGCACGGCCAGCTCGCCAGTCTCGTTGGAAGCACGACTAGTTATACTTAGTACTTAGTGCCGTATGTCTACAGTAGTTAGACGTGTAGCGAGCGTCTCCTTATCGTTCTGCTTGGGGTATTTTGTGATTAGCGCGGTGGCTGGTACATATATCGCTGATTCATAACAGGATTGGAAGCTCACAAGGTAGCTCTTGTATACCTACCATCTTAAAGCCTTAACCAATGCACAGGTTCCTGGTTTTGTGGATATCTCGCAAGACCGTACCTACGGCAGGTAAGTCTCCTTGTGTTGGAATTGCCGCATGGCGCAACCTGGCACACTCCCATCAACAGGCGGCATACCAATACACCACAGCGGGATGACGGAATGCTGTGGCGTAAGCTAGCTTTGATGGAAATAGCTGAAATCAGGGTCTCATGGTCTTGTGCAACCGCATGTAGCTATGCCGTCCCAGGTCGTCCCAACAGCGCAATGTGTCGAACAAGTTGAGGACTCTCTCGCTGTGCGTTGGGAAGCTGTTGGCGGTCGAACTTTCATCTCTCAAACAACGGGTCTTGGGATGAAGCTCTTGCGTGATGATGCTAGTAGTGTCCCAAAATAGAATCCAGCTATGTAAGTACGTAGCATGTATCTGCAGCTCTGTGACAAGTGGGCCTCAGCCTGGGGTTACAGTAGATCTTGAAAGTGCCATTATGTGGACTGTGCAGGCAGATAGGGTGGATCTCAGCAGCAGCACCGGCGAGGTTACTTCGTACGGTTGGCGGCGGTGGTTTTGGACAAAATCGAGCCCACTTGATGCCACATTGGGGATGGACAGCATTAACAGCGACGCTAGGGACGGGGGGGAGGCAGGGGAACTTCTTCTTTACTATGTACTATGCCTCATAGCAGCGTCGACGTCAGGTGCCGTGGGGTTGCATCAGTTAGGCGTTCTCTATTTTCTGCTCTGTTGGTTGCAGCTGTTGGTTTCTAGGGACAGAGAAGTGAGCCTTGTGAGTAGCTGTGGGTGTGCAAGAGTTGGTGTTCGTTATGGCATTTGCGACAACAGGTGTCTCAAGGCAACCTGCCGTGGGGGCAGAGGTGATTATACATGCAGAGATCACTGTGGACTAGAAACATATCGACTCTCTACCATGTATGTGAGCGTGTTTCCCCGAATGTTTCGAGATCCAAAAGACGTGGAGTATCCCACCCATGGGCATCCATGGGGCAACTGTGATCCTCATTTTCTCCATATTAGTAGTGAGGTAGGCGAGGAGGTACACGACGTATTCCCCGAACGAGGTTTATCTTAAGATGCTTGTACCTTGGCGATCGGGAAACACCTTGTTCGAGTACATTTTGCCACAGTCAGATTGTGGAATCGCAACAGCGGAGATTAGTAAGGAAGAGATGGCAAATGTACATGGTATTGTACAAACGATTTACCTTTGTGATTTAGATTGCTATGCTAAGGACGTTGCCGGCCCAGAAATCGTTCACCGGCACTCTTACATACTGAACCGACTCTCCAGTGTAGACTATCTTACTTAGCTCTGACGACTTGGAGTTGGAAAGACTCTATTTAGCATGTGAGATTCTCACGATAGCACCAATGCAGCCTAATGGGTGATTGAATGGGGGGCGGGGGCGACTAATTAGACGCCGGCGCTTGGTTCGAGAGAAAGGGCAGCCTAAGTTTGACTCTACTACCTAGTAAATATCGGCTGACTCAGCTGCGATTCAGCTTTTAAGCATTCCTCCTTACCTTACTTTCCCTCACTCTTTTTTATAGACGAAACAATTATCTAAGCCTTGTTAGATTCAGCCTATGCAATAACAACAACAACAACACCCCCACCACCAACATGCCAACAGCATCAACAACAATAACCACGACAATAACAAGAGATATGTACATACCCACTCATGGGATCTTCAAATATGGTTTCTTGATTTCATGATGAGATGAGTTCAGGGCATGACCACATGCCTAAACATATGTTGCCTAGACTACCATGTAGTGGTTCTTATCATGCCTTTAATGACAGTAGACCCTGTTGTAGATCAAGCTAGCGAAGGGAGAGGAAGAAGCCATGTAAGTAAAACTTGAAGCTAATTTGGCCTGCCGCCTTACTAAGATTGCGGCAAGATTCTCCTGACTTTATGTTTTGCTAGTCTCGAGACAACAAGCAAAACCATAACAAGTAATTGCCCAAAACTTCCGGGGAGGGAAACCACCTACAAAGATGAGCCGCGAAAAGTAGCATGTTGTCATTTAACCTCATAGTAATCCTGCGTAGGTCTTGTTTTCTCTTCTTTTCGGGGGGCTTTTTAACTCTGCTCCTCGCTAGTAGTGTGTTCGACCCCGATGGCCAACTACATATAGTATATCGGATATGATTTAAGGTATAGTAAACATGAGGCTTGGTGATATGGATATACCTCTATGGAGAGTATACTATGTAGCGTAGCTTGCAGTTCGAGGCATGATGCATAGCCTAGTGTCCAAACACATGGCCATGGAGTCGTACCTATATTAAGCGGTCTTATGGCATAACTGTCTATGTCAGCAAGATTTGCATAGAATTTAGGCTGTTTTCTAATATAGTAAGTCAGTAGCAGCAAGGCGTAGCGTTATTTGCTGATGGATAATTTTAATTATGCTGGCGGAACCGAAAGACAGACAAACAGACATTGGCATCTATCTGCCTACCTACCTACTGTAGGTATCTACCAGAGTAAGTAAGTAGGTAGCCAGAAGTGGCCTCTGCTCCCCTCTGGATCCAACCTGAAGCGTGATTCAGATGTGTTGCAACGGTACTACGTCGATGCACAATTCTGCCATGCCTCCACGGCCGATGCTACGTCGGAGTACCTAGGTAGATGTACCTGCGTATCTCGTCCAGTCCTTAGCTAGCAGTATGCAGGCAATGTAGGTAGGTGCGTGCTACTGTATGTAGGTAGGGTAGGTACCTACTGTACCTAGGTAGTGGACATTACAGTGGGCTCTGCAGTGGTACCGCCAAGCACTTTAAACCACATCCACCCTAGCTATTTACGGTTAGGCCATCTTTCACAAATAACACCCCCAGCCTACTGGGACTTCCAAGGTCCTCCCCCCCCCCCCTTATCCTTCATCATCTCCTCATCCATCCATTAACCATGCCAGTCTTGCACAATTCTCACCACACACAAGCCCACGCACGCCGGCTGCTTTCATCCCACGTACGCCCCGGGGTGGGCATGACGGGAAGTCATTATGTACACCACTTACTTAGACGAGGCGACCCCTTGCCGGTCGCTTGTACCGAGTCCCCTGTCGTTGAGTGACCCAGCCTGAAGTGGTGAACAATCTACATCTATCTCATCTTATAAGAAGTAACAGGCCTTGCTAGACAAGACCGGGTCATATTCCCCCTGTTCACGGCTAGTGTGTATAGTATACGGCATGCTCGATTATTCTTACTGTGCTGCTTTGTTTCTCCTGCACTGCAGATGCCTGGTACATACCTTCAAACAACTCAGATGCCAGGGAGGGTGACCTGGTATTGCTATTCTTGAACGTGCCTACTAAGTACGGCCGGCCCATGGTTCATGGCTGTTGGTGAATTGTCAGCAAGAGTATCGTTGCGTATCCTAACCGCCTTATCTGGTCTCCTATCTCCAGTGTCACGAGAAAGGAAACATAACGTACCACGGCCGAGTACTGCTTTTCCTCCTGCTACGGTACAATGGCGAAGAGTAGAGCACCTCGTTCGACTGCTAGGACGCCGTGTCTGGTAGCTCGGTGAGCAGATGTCACCACCACTTGGTCTTGCACAAGTGAGCTACCAAGAGCTACGCAGTAGTGTCGACTTTGGTGTCACCCACTCACACCCCGTCCTGCTTACACTACCCCTACACCTTAGTGTATCTTTCTTTACACTCAACCAAGTGTGTACCTAGCGTAGTCGTCGTACCCACACCTCTAGAGTTGATGGCGTCGACTGGGGTGAGAGAGTGTCCATGGTTGTGTAGGTACACAATGTACTCGATGTACAACTTGTTTCCAGATGCTACCGATGGCACAGGCGGCGGCGTCCTACCCCCATGTCCAGGTCGACACTTACGAAGGGTCGACATCGCTCCACCATTGTACTGCCCCAATGTCCATACATTTACTTATAAGCTACAACTTCCCCAGTCCCTGACATGCTTACGGCTTGGTCAAGTTGAGGCTGAGAACATCGCAAGTCGATTCCTTGTCTGGTGCCAAAATAGTCTTGAAACGAACTTTTCCATCTAGACTTCTCCAGTTCATATATCATCATCGGACGACGCTTTGGTTTTAGTAACTGCCTGTGCTTGCTTACCTTGCCTTCCTCGCATACATATCACGACTCATCTAGCTGGTCCAAGTGTATAAGCACAGATATATCTCCATCCCAACCCGAAGGAACCGTACGTTAACATCGATTTTCCTCTCGATTTCCCCTCGTCTCTTCTTCAGCATGGATGCCTTTCGGTCTACACACGTTGAGCGCTCTAACTCACAACCGCCTAGATCAGACATTAGTCGTGCAGACTTGGTGGTAGAGAGGCCACTCATACGTCCCACCGATTCACCAAGCCGGTCTCACGTCTATTACGACCAGCAACTACCACCGTATAAGAACAGCCTACCAGCTCAGGCTCCTTACTCTCAAGGCGTAACAAGCCACCCCATCGAGCTTGGCTTGAATTCATCTCTCCTGGGAAACAGCCGTGGCGAATTTGGCATTGGGTCGAGTGACGACCAAGCACAATCCCAAGGCATAGCATCACTGCGAGAGGAAGAAAATCGGGAACTCTCTAAATCTTTTCCATCTTCTGTAGGAGGATCGACAATGAGGTTGGCAAAACCACTTTCAAATGAGAGTTATCAAGGCTAACGGTATGCATAGTGCCGTCGCAGTATCATTTGATCCTAGAATGGAGATGGGTGTCCCGCGCTCGACATACACATGGCACAGTACGATTTCACTCCAGAAGTTGAGCTCACAACTAGCAGTCATACTAAATCAAGCCTCAGGTCTCCCTGGTCTCGAATCGAGCCCCGAGTTACTGTCTCATGATATATCCAGTGTTGGACATGGATCGGACATCAGCAGCCTAACACCACCTCCCAGCGGGTCAAGGTCTTTGACTTCAAGCCCCCCGCGACCTATCATCTTGACGCCGGAGCAACGCGAACTGAAACGGCAACGTGATCAAGCAAGACGGGATTCGAAGACATCTGTTCGAGTTCGTCGTGGAATGAGCAACAACTCGTACACCCCGGCAGGACAATCCCCACCAGTATCAATGCACGAATTCTCCTCAGCGTCACCTGTGCCAATATACACAACAGCGCCAACTCAGATTTCGCTTCTAGCCGAGCCAGTAACAACTGTAGGACCATCTTACCTGCCATCGTATTCGACATCTCCTTTGCCAGATCACGGAAACTCTCAAATGTTTTCTCCTCATTACTCACCTCTCCCTTCCAACGACTACATGGGTATGAACTACCAGGCTGGGTATCCCCCGCCACCCTCACACCACAGCCTCTCTTCTCAGTACAGGTATGTTACATGTTTCTCACTGATCAAGCAGCTTCTAACGTAGTATGATAGTAGCCGAGCTTCCTCGGAGTCTGGGATGATGTATTCTGTCCAACCTGCAGTTCTTCCTCCAGGCAACCCATCAGGAGCGGACACCGGGCACGTCCGAGTTGTGCAGAGCAGACCTAAGCCGCAATGTTGGGAACATGGGTGCAATGGGAGACAATTTTCCACATTCAGCAACCTGCTACGACATCAGCGAGAAAAGTCTGGGCAAGCAGCCAAGGCCAGCTGTCCTAACTGTGGTGCTGAGTTCACCAGGACTACTGTAAGTTCTGATGCTAGCCATTGAGGGGTGGTGCTTGAAGACTAATAAGAGCGGCAGGCACGTAACGGACATTTACTGCACGACAAATGCAAACAGAGACGCAACTCATAAAGATGTATAACGCATCATGTACCACTACCATCTACACCTTCGATTCTTGGGATTCCTCTTTTATTATCACGGTTTTACGGGGCAACGCTTTCACACGATGAAGCTGTACTTTCGGCGTAATGGATGATTTTGACTTGGGACGGTTGTGATTTGTTAAAACAGCGATTGGGTTAGGTGAAAGGGAATACTCACCGAGTCCGAGGCGAATGGGTTATACGGATGACACATTGAAGAGGGAGTAGATGTGATTTGCAGCTGTTGATGTTTATATACCCCACCTTTCGCTTCTCGAGCCACGACGACTCGCCTGTCTATAGTTGTATGTACAAAGGGGTTGAAAATGAAAAAGCCGTTATCCTCAATCACTCCAGCTGTTTGTTGAGTTATCCTCCTGATGTGCTACGATGAGCCGGTGAAATTACACTCTGGCAAGAAGATAGCGACATTGTCTGATAACGGAGAACAATTGACATCCAACCTGCCGAATTGGGAAATGCTGCCACTGGTCACACTTGGCTACAATAGGTTTGGTTGCAGCTGAGGGGAGGGTGAGGCCGCAAAGTTGCTTGGACCCCTGTCTGTTACTTGTTTGACGAACGCACAGTACTGCAGATTTGCCCCCTTGTGCAGCGGGGAACGAAGGAAGCTTTCCCAAGTCAGGCCACACACAATTCATCTGATTGCAGAAGCAGCAGTGCACACTAGGTAGCCTAGATCAGACTAGATTTACTTTATCAGCAAGGGTAAGTCATACGTAAGGAATCAAGATTCCCGGAATCTGCTCTCCCAGAGAGCAAGTCACATGATGGATATGGTATGGCTTGGTTGCCTGGCTAGCTGGCTGACTGACTGAGTGATTGATTGGTGTCACAATACACTACTACATACATGCTTAGTAGCTACACCATATCACATCACACCACGCCTCCAGCATCCCTGGACGCCAACAGGGCAATAGCACTCAGGGCCACAGGGCTGTGGGAATTGTGCCTCTCTCTCCTCTTTCCCCCCCATCTACATACAGTAGTTATCTTTCGCTAATGGCTTTCACGTATGCCAATAGCGGCGGGCAGCCGCTCCGGGTACCACAGGCTTTCTTCTCGGCGGACCCAACGGGCCGTGATTGTCGGGTGGAGGGAACCTTTCAGGGTTTTTGAGCGTAGTGTTAACGCCGGTAGGTAAACTAGAAAGGACCGATCCCGCTCTAGTGTAGCTACACGGTTTAGTAGAGAGCGTACACGTACATACATCAAGATACAAGTACGTGTGGAATAAGTCTATCCCATGGGCTGACACTCCCCAAGCCTCCAAGACACGGGAACGTATACCTGCAATTTCTGCAGCGCAGGAAAATAGCATTCTAGAAAATCAGCCCATTATCTTAGTATAAGGCAAGCTGTACACGGTCAGGGCCTCAATACTAATGTAATGACATCTAGGTATCTTTTCCGCTATCGTTTTCCCCCTCTCTTGTATGAGAGAGCCAAAAAGCTCAATACCGGTCGTCGACGGGGTCTTACTATTGGGGGCCGGGCTGAATGAATGGCCCACTGTAACTGGGTAGGTAATCACATGTTGTACAGTGCAACAACAACAACAGCGGACGCAAAGTCGAGGTTCTCTTTCGGATCCGAAAATAGCATCATCATCACCCAGCTCAGGCTTAACTAATCGGGGTAAAGACCAAGGCGAAACTGCCCTGCGTAGAGTATGGGTACGCTACCTACTTCTCCACTACGCTAAAAATGGCCATGCGGCTTCGTTTAAACCTGGGAGACCCATCTCGCATTTTCTGGGCTCGCGTCTTCGCTTGTATGTATCTTGGTATCTTGGATTGCTGTTTATCGATTGCCCGGGTCGTTGATTGACTGATGAAGGACCAGGGAAAAAAAAAAAAAGCCACTGTCATCATCGTCATCACTAGCCCAGTAGCAGGTAGCAGTTGGAAATGAGCGATGGCTTGCGAAGACCCTGAGTGAGATTTTAAACGACATACGCTACTCACTGCTACTTTTGCTGCTTCGACTCCCGACCAGACGATGTGATAGGTGAAAACCGATGATGCATATCCTGATTTACCACCACGGCTTTCGGACTTCACACATACACATACGTAGTATTCTTCTACGACGTCCTGTCGTGTAGCATGTTACAGATAGATAGAGTGCATTTGAATTTCACCTACTTACCTGCCTGCCTAGCGCAGCAAGAACCGTGTGGTGGAGGTATAACGTTACACGTAGTATAACTTTGCCCTAATGCTACGCTACCCTCACCCAGGCCGGCGGACTGGGCCTCATTTTAATGATGATGATGAAGATGAAGAAACCGTTGTGGCGGACGGAGCCTTACTACTAGGCGGCGCACATCGATCGACTCACGCACTAACTAACTTGTTGAACCCGGAGCACATGGAACGAACCAATATCATGGTCCTGGAATCGGGAGCTTGGGGGACACTCACAGCTAACACACATCTTGCAACCATGATCCTGGGACCGACCTTCTTGATCGTCGCTCTTAGCGTCGTGGTACCAAGCACTAGCATATGTACTGTAGAACACTTTGATGAACATCGTATGGTCGGTCATACTTATGGGTAGGTAGTATACCTCAAGTAAGTAAGTAAGTAAGTAAGTCGCCATCGTTATATACATTGCAATGCCCATTATGAATGTTTACTACAATGCAACTATAGCTCGACGTATGCCAGGATACACAATCAAGTTAATTTCCACGATCGACATTGTTCGGTCTCTTCTAACATGGCACTAAAGTGTAGGTAGGTATATTTAGATGGCGCAGGGGACCTCGGGGACCCTTGTGTTTGAGCTACTGTAGGTAGGTAGTCTGTGTAAGTAGGTAGATGTCGACATCGTAGCTAGGCATGATTTTAAATCTGTGTTATTATTGACAACATCGCTCGCTATATTACAGTATGAACAGGTAAGTAAACGAATGCTGCTGATGGGTAGGTAGGTATCATATCTTGAAACCATATCGGAGGCCGATCGGCTCGGCTTTCGATAAGCCTGGCCACCTACCTACCTACCTACCCTTATCCATCGATCCATCCATCTAACAGTCTCTCTACTTACTCTTACTTACATACCTAGCACACGTGTGTAAGTAAGTATGAAGCGGCAGGATTGCAGCCCAGATGGCTCCTTCGGCAATACATGTACACAGGATCAGAGAAACGGGGCCCAACGCGACCGGCAGATGTGAAAGAAGGACACGGGATCAAACTCCTTCCTTACGCTACCACTTCGATAGTAGGCACGCTACTTATGTAAGCGCAGGTATTGGACTCGATCAATCAATCAATCAGTGATTGCGTTCATTCATCGCCGGATAACAACCCACCCGAACTTACATAAGTAGTAGAGTAGACGACTACGCTACCAAGACGCTACTACCTGCTCATTACTGCTCTACTGCTACCTACTTGCTGGGTAGTTAGTAACATGTCATCCAATAGATAAGGATGGCCCTCGCAGAATGCGCTAGAGGGTGTGAGTAAGTAAGTACTTACAGTGATAAGCTGCTGTGTCGCAAGTTGCTAGCAGCAATGATCGAGTTTGGTTGGCAGGGGTTGACATGGCCTATCAGAGCACCGTCACCGCAACACGTTGCCCCTTGCACTGCACTGAAATGAAGCGAGACCCAATATCTCTGGGAGTTAAGCATCTACAATAGGTAGGTACCGTATGTGTGTAAGTGTCCTGCAAATCACTGTTTTTGTATGCCCGTTTTCCCTGTTTTTCTTTCTTTCTGTTACCGTCATAGTAAGTAAGTAAGTAATTAAGTAAAGCCACGGCGCTGGTTGCCGATTACCTGCCTACCGCTCACAACACGTGTCCGCCACCCGCGTCGAAGGAAACATCCAGCTTACTTGCAGTACCTGGGCTGTTATTCCAGCAAGAAACCTACATACTTAGGTACGTAGCCACCAAAGCTGGCCAGGGAAATACTAGTAGTGGAAAAGGATACAAGTGGTGCAACATATGTACTTGAATAGGTATAGTATGTTTTCAATGCAGATAATCCTCACTAGCATTTTGTTACGAACGATAACTAGATATGGTACGCTACTGTACTGTACTGTAAGTAGGTTGTTGAATATCTTACAGTACCTAGGTAGTAGATAGGGTGAGCTGTTACAAGGCTTAGCTAATACTTACCAATTTCGCAAACATTGAACCATCTTTGACCGACATCGAGCGTTTGATGCCCTTGTCAGTAAAAGTAGTCTCTTAGTCTCTTAAACCCAGGGCAGGGCAACATACGACTTTAATAAACCTGGCAGGCCGGGCACTTTGGTTGCGCGCCAAATCTGCATTGCGGAGAATAATGAACGGACAGGGTCTGACATGCCACCAGGCTCTACTTTACCCTACATAGTACCGTATATATCTTATTTATGGGCGTTGAACTTCTAGGATGTAGGTACCTACATGAATGAGGATATTGTCAAAATTAATAGCTACTTGAGCAGCTGCTGCTCAGCAGTTAGTTGGACTTGCACTCCGCTACACTACTATATACAACAGTTGATAGCTTGTCAGTCAGTCAGTCAGTAAGTCAGTAATCAAATAATTGAACCAAGAGCCTGTCTGAGGTTGCTCTCGCTTGTTCCCCCACACTTTTGCTCCCACTCGATTTCCAGATCCAGGTTGCGGGGCGGGGGGTCCCATAATGGGCCGCTGCAACTTGATGGCGATGAGAGGGGGGGAAGGGGTGGGGGGGTCCCTGTAACTTAGCACCTTTGTGTACCTAAGTAAGGTACCTACAATACTGCAATACTGCCCAGAACTGCCCTACTTAAGTACTTATTACTTACTTACAGCAGGTACCTACCTATATGTACCTGGTTAACGTCTGCCCTGGCCAGGTTGCGAACCAGGTCTAACCCAGCAGCAACCAGCAACAACCCAGGTCTTCTGAAATTGCAGAGCCGGAGACACCGCTACACAGTACCTGAACGAGCACTACATTGGAACCGATGTGCTGTGCTTTACAGTAGTGTGCAAGGCCCTCGTTTGTTCACCAAGAAAGAAAGACCCCTTCTTCTTCTTCTTCTTCTTACCGTCGTCGGTACAACGGCAAAAGTGCAAAGATGCAAGATGATGGCCAGATCAAATCAGAGCGATCGCGGTCTGTCGGTTATTACGTACGCACACCGCTCTGAAATCTACCAAAGACGCTGGGGTTTGCGTGTACGTGCACCATCAAGAGTCGGGGCCGTGAATCCCACCCTCTCTCGCCTCGCGTCGCCTCGTCCCGCACTCACAGACTACTTACATGACTACATACACACTTACTTATACAGTCCCTAGTGTACTCTGCCTGCCTGCCTACCTGCTCATACTAGAACGAACTCGTATCTCAAACCAGTCGTCTACCTCATCTTGCTGTAACGACGACGTACTTAAATCGCTGCATGCCATCATCATGTAGGCGATAATGAATGTACACTAATATGCATCCCATCAAGCATACTTAGGTAGATAAGTAGGGAAGGAGGGTAACCGCCGCCTTTACGTAAACCTCAACATATGTAAGTACTTACACTATTGTGAGCGTCGAGTGGCGGCTACCATCTGTTTCACCAGATGCCATATGTCACAGAGTTACAACACAAGCCGCTGGTCCACGAGAGAGATTTGAAATATCGGCACGGGTATGCCTCCTCTCCGCCTGTGCGCGTTGCTTCGACGTAGTCTGGACGTAGGTAGTGTGCACCAAAGCACGGCGTACCCACGACGCCGCGCCGGTCGCGCCATGAACGATGTGCCCCCCTAGACGACATGATATGATCTCGACTTCTCCGTGCATCACCACTGTCCGGACGTACCGCGGCCTAGCCGGGCAGATAGGCAGGTACCAGCTAATCCAGGCATCCGATACAGACCTGCAGTGCTCTGCACTATCTACATGATGCACATGGAAAGGTGAGCCGGGGGTGGTCCTGAATGCCCCTTGTCCGGGCCATGGTCGAGGCCCCTTTCACATCAGAGAGTCACCTTACTCGGTACTCACCTATCTACTTACGTCTCGGCGATTTTATATCTTCTGCCTTCTTTCTATCCCTGCCCAGAGAGTTAAACTAGATCAGACCCGAGGATACAATTATCATTTACTACTTCAAGTCCAAGGCCAAGGCTTCGAAATCCATCTCTCCACTTCGTGGTGTCCTTGTTCTGTCTTTGTCTTTCGCCCTCACTAGAGCCTGCCGAGCCTGCCTCATACCATGTATGGGAAAGATGTCACTGAACCTCATGGTAGTGCACCTTGCCCTATCCTGAAAAGCGACCAGAGCCTAGACAGATGAAGAGGGGCTGGCCGGTGTCGATCGTACAATTTGTTGCGACTGCGTGGTACTTTTCGGCTTCGCTCTCGGCGAGCTTTGTTGCTGTGCCGCAGGCGGGCGTCCAGCCCATTGTCTCCCGAGGTCTCTCATTTGTGCAGAGCTACCTGCAGAACGCCTCTTCGCACATAGTAGCATGGCAAAGGACCCTGTCATCCCGCCAGTTCACTAGCCCGCTAGTCCGTCAATTACTATGATGCTCTGAGTTGCCCACGTCGCCACGCACGCTACCTGCCTACATTACGACCGCGTCGTTGTCTAGAGTCTCTGTTGATCGTTGTTGATTTGCCACTGTCGTGGCGGCGGAAATTTAGCTAACTTGGATGGATATGAACCTTACGGAGTAATTAGCAGCGGAAATAAGCCAGATGCTCTTTAAGTTACACTCGTTGGCTGAACTGAAGTGTTACGCATCAATCTTACCGAGCGGATCATATCCGTTCGTACTACCGCCTGTTTCAAGGACTCAGGATGGTATCCGCACTGCCGATTGGATTCTTGCATCGTCGAATGGAGAATGACCATTCTCATCTCACTCTACTGAAACACCTCGATATGAGTATATATGCCTGGTTCTAGCATAAGGGCTGGGATATCATATCCCCGAGCAGCGAATACAGACCGCTGCCCACCCCCCTCATTACACTTAGACATTTGCAAGATCAGCATGGTTTTACTTAATCAATCAGTGATACTGACTTCAAACCTCATGCAGGTTAAGCTGCCCGCTGGTTGTCGCTTGAACTACCTAGGCTTACTACTGCAACCCCAAAGTCCCCCCATTGGTGTTGGAGAAGGGCAACGAATCAATCATAGGAAATCTGCATATGTATCATTACCATGTCGCACCACTAACGTTGCGTCTTTCATCTCTTGTGCCAGAGCTTCATGCCTGGTAAATCTGCCGTGCCGGCTGTTAGCCGGTGAGAATATCAATTCAAATTGCTCCCGAACCGACCATTTGTTGCCTAAACATACCGATACTTGTCGCATGGTTCTTTTTGGTTTATCCACATTGATACAACGTCGGGCACGGCACGGAAAGCAAAGATCCCCAACTATTAAGGCTGGCCCTCTGGATAAGAGTCTGTGGCTCTTCTCGAGGCATCAATGCTACTCTGTTGGTGATCTCGACGTCCAGCTCGAGGCACGCTATAGGAGGTTATTTCAGCTCTGGGCAAGGCTTTAGTCAGCCCTACACATGTCTCAGACTTACCTTGCATTGCAGCAGCGCAAGCAAAAACTTTCATGATACCTACTGTTGGAGACGTTTAGATGATTACCGACAGGCTGAATTTAGAAATTGCGTCTCACAGAAGAAGAAAAAATTTCAACCTGACCAGCCTCTGAAATGAAGTGGTGTTGACGCACGTATTGTGTTGCCCTGTAATACAGCTGAAATAGGTTGGGGGCAGTTCCAGAGCACCATTGGAATGAGACATGCACATAACGTAATATACAGGTGATACCTATAGAATGACACCATGATCCCGGAACTTGAGCGCATAAATACAACTGGTATTGCTGTCCTCTCTCGTGTAGTAGGGCTACCATCATGGGTGAGATAAGATGTTTCGGCGGCTACCGGCTGTGTGTGTTTTCCTTGATACCCGGCCGCTCTTCTCATTGTGCGAAACAGGTACTACGTGAGTGGCTGGTCCAGCGTACCACATGTCATGATGCCACGCGGACGCAGGCTCCCACTGATAGGCGGGCGATCGCACATGGCCCGCGACCACGAGAGAGGCCCGGGCCAGAGGGAGAATTTCCCTCCGAAACCACGTTGTCGCTGTGCAGCGGGACTTCCGAAACAGGAAGTTGGTGTGCGGGGGGGAAAGGCATCATCGCCTGGTTTGAGATGCATAGTCACCCTGTGCCGGGTCATCATACAACTGGTCCCGAGAGAGCGAGAGAGAGAGATCTTACGTCGGCGACTTATAGGGAGGGAGGGGGCCATAATGCTGTCAGTATGTAGTACTGCAGGGGACCGATGGGAAAGTCACGCATGAACGTCTTGAGACTCGGGGTTGTGTGTAATCATGAACGCCCAGTACTAATGGAGAATGATTGGGCCAGATATATAGTATGTGTATTATAGTTGACATTACATTTTATTTTTGAGCAGCGCAAGGCAGTAGGTATGTATGTATAAATGATCTAGCACGATGCGTGGCTTATTCCATACTACGCTGTCAGAACAACGGGGTGGCATTGATAATCTGCGGGCGCCGACAAGGGACCTGGTTGACTGAATGAATGTCTTGAACACAGAGTTTGACCTCCACAAGGTCTCGAACAGAAATATTCTTACCTGCAGCATACCGAAGCAAGGGCCCTTCTGTTATACCAGCTACTGGGATGGATACTACAATCATGGTGCGGATATCAAAGAGAGCTACGGTTTTATAGCTGCAGGCTTCGTTTATTAGATGTAAGTAAGTGTCAAAGCTTCCAAGCTACCTACATCACATACTTACAGTGAGATTTGACTACATCCACATCTGGCGTGAACGTACCTATAGCATGACATAATATGGGTAAACTGGACATGCACCGGGAAAATATTGCAGGTATCCAATCAAGGTCTGCATACTGCAGTACAACCCTCCAAGATTTAGAGCCTAGCAAGGCGTGGAAAGACAGCTGAGAAGAGCACTACACGCCCGAGACGCGAAGCCTGCGACAGACGCCCGCGTAGCAAAAGAGTCGGATTAGCCGAGCGGTAATTAGACGCGTTTGGGGCGGCATCACCGCCTGCCCCAAACGCTGCCTAGCCCCTCCACCCTCCACTCGTGAACTATTTTGCCGCCTCGTGTCCAACCAATCACACACGCCCCCGGCCAAACAATCAAACAATCAAACAAGCCTCGTTCGCATGTTGACACGGCTCAGCCGAACTCACAGTAAGATACAACAACAGGCTGCCATTCGCCGTCGAAGCTGACGAGATTTGGAGACGGCAAGGGCCAATGTCATCTCATGCACCACACTACAGCGCGAGAAGATGATGAACGCCTCGTCTCTCACCCCTTCCCTGTTTCTGTCCCTAGCACCTGTGTACATGCAGGCAACGAAGGGCTACCTACCCCCGTGCGACGAACTTCAGTAGATACAGGAAACCCGGCACTGGAGGCACAGCCGAGAAGCAGCAGCTATGGATACTATGGTGGTTGAGAACACGAACTGGAACGCGCGAAAACGACGTGCAGTTCACTCGGTCTTCCCAACGGATGCCTTCTCGCAGCCAACACCACATTCAACGCCTTTGGCGCCTGCCGTTGGGAAAGGCCAGCCTTTTGGCGGCCCTTTCGCCCAGGACAACTCACAGCAGCCAATCGCGCCGCAGAACTGGGCTGCCTTTAGCGCTGGTGAGTTACCGTTAGAACATACCCATGCCTCGCACCAGACTCGCTTCGATAGGGCTTGGCACACTGTCACATCACGAATCGCATTGCCGCCTTCAGTCTCTGCGGAAGACTCGTTCGGGTCACTCCCAGACTTGCAGGATGTCGACGGTGGCATATTCGAGAGTGCATTGCTTGACGTTATCAACCCTTCGTCACGCCTGCCCCTCGCGAGCCACACCGAGGACATTCTTGCCTGGCATACGCAACAGATGCGACAGCATTTTGTCAACTATGTACTTCCCCTCTTAGCGATATGTGATGGCTACTCGGACCAAACACAGCTTCTATTGGGAAGCATTCGAACATTAGAAGCAGCACGTCGGCAGTATCTTTACGGTCTGTCATTAATCGTGCAGCCTATGGACCCAAAGAAAGCAGACCTAGTTCTCAAGAAGTTTCTGCGAGATGTATATGCTATTGTTGGAAATTCTATGTCTAGTGCTCTAGTCTCTGCGCTTCGAATGGTTCTCGGCCACATGATGAAGAATGTACTGGGGATAACTGCAACAGGCCCTACCCTCTTCGATGACAAGCAGTCTCAACAATCCACAGACAGCGTAGACCATACCCGAGAAGAACTGCTAGAACTAGTCGACTCGCTTTGCAGAGCTGGGCTAGCAGGTGAGCGATTTCAGATCTTGTTCGCTGAGCTTCTGGACGAGATGATGGTCAAGTATGTGCAAGAATCCTTTGCTGGAGACTGGGGTTTAACAGACCAAGACGTTCACATGTTGGGCTTAGTCGCTGGCCAAAGCCAGTCTACTCAGCCTCGATGTATAGTGCAACTTTCAGACTGGGTCGAGAATCATTACGCTCGCCTCGCCGTAGAAGTCACCACCAGACTTGGAGGGGTAGAGGTCGCTTGGACTGATGTAGAGAAGTGGAAGCAAACCGCTATCGGAAGGCTTGCGACCCTTCGTATCAATGAACTTTTCGACATAGTAATTAACTGGCGCAGTAGCGAGGGCGGCATTGAGGATCTCCGTTTCGCCGTCACTACTCCTCAACGGAGACTACAGCTTACCGACGCGTTCTCTGCGGCACTGCAGAGCCGTCTACTCCATCCAGGTCGCTCAACGCTAGAGATTTTACGTACATATATCGCCATGATACGGACATTTCACAAGCTAGATCACTCTCGCGTGTTACTTGACCGTGTAGCCTACTCTCTACAGCTCTATCTTTGCACACGTGAAGATACAGTGCGTCTGATCGTATCTGGTTTACTGTCTACTCCTACGGAGGCTGAGTCAGAGGCGACTCGCAAGAAGAAACTAGTTGAACTTGTGGAACTGCTCTATGACCCTGACCAATATCGCTCAGAGCGCCAGGATGAAGAATGGGATGACTTGACTTGGGTCCCTCCACCGGTGGATGCTGGCTCCAACTACAAACGGCGTAAATCAGAAGACGTTATTGGTACTTTAATTGGTGCCCTCGGTTCTCCTGAGGTATTTATCAAGGAGTTCCAGAATATCATTGGCGAACGGCTACTGTCCGAGCAACTTTCCTTCGATCAAGAGGTTGGCGTGCTTGATCTTTTGAAGAAGCGATTTGGTGAAGCATCGTTACAGGCTTGCGACGTCATGATTAAAGACATACAAGACTCACGGAGACTCGATGCCGTAATTCACCGTAATTTTTTGAACCAAGATGAGAAGGGATCACACGAGTCGAACATTCATGCCAAGATCCTCTCGCGACTGTACTGGCCCGAGGCCGGCGAAGAGAGCTTTGAGTTACCTACGGCTGTTGCCACATTGCAGAAGGAGTACGCATCCGTATTCGAACACCTCAAACCATCCCGTAAGCTCAAGTGGCTCAATCATCTTGGTCAGGCCACGGTGGAGCTCGAATTTGAGGATCGTACCATTGTGAAAACGGTACGCACCTACGAAGCAGCTGTCATCAATGTGTTTGGCGAAAACGATGCACCTAGCTGGACATTTGAGGATCTGTGGATGAAGATGCAAATCGACGAAGATCTCCTGTCGTCAGCACTAGAATTCTGGGAGAAAGAACAGGTCCTGCGTAGACAGCATGACGGCAGCTACGTAGTCATAGAGCGGCTTTCGGATGGAGCCGAGTCAGAACAGCCCAGCAACAACATAGTCCCACCGTCAGCGTCAGCCGCCGCCGCCGCCGTCGCGGATGGTGGTAGCATGCAGACGCCGCCGCCACAACAACGCAGCAGCAGGGCAGCCAAAGCCAAGACCTCCAAAAGCGGAATGAGCGAGAAGGAAAAAGAGAAACGCGCCGTGTACTGGCAGTTCATCGTGGGCATGCTGACCAACTCGAGCCCCGCGATGCCCCTGAACAACATCGCCATGATGATGAAGATGCTCATCCCCGACGGGTTCCCCTGGAGCAACGAGGAGCTGCAGGAGTTCCTGGCCGAGAAGCTCGGCGAAGGCGAGCTGGAACTCGTTGGGGGCAAGTATAAGCTTATCAAGAAATGAAATGAAGGGACACCTTAAAAAAAAAGGAAAAAAAAAAAAAAAAAAAAAAAAAAAAAAAAAGGCGGAGATTTGAATGAATCGAAGGGTTTAAAAGGGATGAGATGGGAATAGAAATAGAAATGGGAAATTAAATGAATGAATGAATGAATGAATGAATGAAACAGACGCCTAAAGGCGGCGTTGTCGCGTGTTCGTATCGTTTGCGTGGATCGGTGTCGTATTTTGGAGATGCGCGTAGGTTAGGCGGGCGGGTAGGTTAAGTATCACATAATCAATCAATCAATCGGCCGATGAAATAATACAATGGTTAGGTACAAGCAATCAATCAATCAATAGATACAAGATGATTGATTGATTCAATTAGTTATGTCGCGTGCGTGCACGCATGTATGCAGCCAAGAGGTGGGCGGCACGTGGTGAGATTCAGATTCGGAATATGGTTTTCGTAGCATTCTGGCGGACGGACTGATAGATGGAGTCAGTCAGTCAGTCAGTCAGCGAATAAACTAGCTGTTACCTTCTCTCTTTCTCTCTCTCTCCTTTTTTTTAATTTTATTTATTTATTTTAAAAAAAATTTAGCGCTCTTCTTCGTCTAAAGATAGGTACGTATTCTCATGTTTCTCATCTTAGGATGAAGGGCTTGCTTGCTCGCTTCTCTTACGTGTGATCGATCGACTAACTGACTGACTAACTGATCAACTGTGCTGTATGTATTGTATTGTTACCTAAGTAGTGTTATGTTAGGTCAGCGTGTCATCTTCAGATTCATGTGCGTAGCTCTTCTTGCACTACACTACACTACACTACACTACCTATCTACATCACCTATCTACATCACCTATCTACATCACCTATCTACATCACCTATCTACATCACCTATCTACATCACCTATCTACATCACCTATCTACTTACTTATTTACTTACCTGTGGCTAGGGGCTGTTGTACGACTATGTAACTACTTCCTAGTGGACATGAGACATATGCACAACATAAGTAACGTACGTGGGTGTTTGGTTGATAAATATGGACGTGGTTTGCTTACGCTTATGTCATGTTGGCTGGCTGGCTTTGAAGCCTGTCTGCTCGCTAGTCAATAACTCAATAAGTCAGTCAGTGGGCTAGGAAGAAAGTCTAGCGCTTCCGCGCGCGATGATTTGATTTTTCGCATACGCCGTATACGACCGCGGCAATTCATCCATCTATCTGCCGGCTATATCTCACTGCGTATGTAGTGTAGATATTCTAACCTCCGTGGGCTGCGCAATTGCTTGTTCCCCGCTGACGCGGCCGGGCGCAAAAGCTGACTAGATAGATATGATACATATGTGATTACCTATTTACTTACTTATAGAAATACGCGGGGGACTTTAGACGCGATACATGAGTCTGCTGACAAGTCTGATTTGTCTGTCTGTCTGTCTGTGTGCTTGATTGCCCGTCGTATCTGCCGCACGTCGTCACATCTATCTGATATCAGCGATCACCATTCAGCACGGCATGGTTCTGTCTGTCTGTCTGTCTGCCTGTTCCATACTGTGTGAGATGACTGACTACCGGGAGTCAGGACACCATATTACGACAGCGGCATATAACTACGCCTCACTCGGGCATCTGCACTAGCTCCTGCACGTCAGAGCGCCATGCGGACGGTGCGACGGGGAAAACGGTGACGGTTGGATCAGTGAAGGAAGTAAGTAGTGTAAGGATCGAAGAACTTTGGAAAAATATGTGAAGGGGTGTATGCATGGTGGTGTATGTGCACGAAGGGGGACTTGAGGGGGTTTTTTTTTTTTCCCCTCGTGAGGATATATATGTAAGATGATATAGATAGATAGCCGAAGATGATCAGATTACGCATTAAGTATGGTATATGTATGTCAGCGTACTTACATGCATGCACGTGAGAAGAGGAGAAAGAAGTGTATCAGATACAGGGAATCATGCGCGGAAGGAAAGTAGAGAAAGAAGGAAGGGACCCGGATAGGGGGGAATATCCGTGGCTTCTTTTTTTTCTCCCTTGTCTGATGGATGTAGTGTTGGGGTTTTTTTTGTCGTTTCGGCTTCTTTCTCAGACGTAGGACTTTTATTTCTTTCTCCGGGCATATGAGGGCTTTGAATCATGCGTGCGACGCGAGGAATAAAATTTTTGTGAAAGATGTGCAGTATGTCTTCGCGAGTGCTTGTGTAGTGTATGTAGTGTTGTTACGTTGACGCCTGCTTGTGCGTTTCTTCGTCTACGTAGTAGTTGGCTAGCTGCGCCAATCTCACGTCAGGCTGAGAACATGTTCGTTGACGGAGTGATTGGTTGATCGTTCGATCTCGACCGATCGTTATGTAACCTGAATCGCGGGTTACGAGCAATTCAGGTCATGTATCTGTCTGCCCTTTGCGAGAAATTGATACCTGAGGTTGGCAGTGGGAGATATGCCCGCGTATCTAACATTTTGTGCCGGATCATATGCGATTCGCTGCGGACTGAAGAGAGAAATGGTCTATGGTTCTAGCCTGGAAACTGTTGTAACGAGTGATAAATTCGGCATTCTCGTCAAGACTTGAGAAACTGTATGTAAACAGTGAACTAAAGTGTTTCGACAAGTGATTTACATGTATATCCTCTAACTACTGATATGAAGAACTTATTCTGTGCTACATTCCTGTGAAGGCTGCAACCAAGGGGGTACTATATGACAATTGTTGTTGCACGAAAGCTTCAAAGAAGCTTTCCTGACTAGGCCAGAGGTATATACAACGAGTCTACTTTGCCTGTAGCTCGGGGATCATGGGAACTTTTAGTAGGAAGGGGATGATAAAAAGTCACTAGCCTCGGGTTTTAACGTGTCTCAAGGCCGGGACAGTCTCACACATCGAAGAGGTGGTAGCTATGGCTGTTGGGAGAAGGTATCGTGGAGTTATGAGCTACCTCGACTTTGAAATGTCTGATTTAGGAAGAGTCACACACTACATAAAGTCTTGTCTCTTTTTCACGTGCACGGATATCAAAACCTCACGTTGTATGATTCGAGTATTTCGATCTATAGCCATCTCAATAGAATGAACAATATGACCCCTATCCCTTATTGAGTAAACAGAAAACATTGTTTCTTTCATTAAGTCTATCAAATCTTAGTCTCATTCCAGAGTTAGCTGGAACAAGACATGGAGCTTGAAGATTGTATTATCTTAGTATAGTATCCATGTAGTAAGTGACGTTGTTTAGTAGTAGCAATGAACCATCTCCAGTTCTCTTGGAGGTGTAGGCGGCCATTACTGTCGGTAAATTGGAGCGATGATACTAATATCAGCAATGCCCGGAATGGCCTACACAGAGAGATTAAGAGTTACACGGTGGGACACTATGTTTCCCAGCACATGAATAAAAGGAGACTCAATAGAGTGAAGGGCTTGATATTATTGCTACAAATACAGGGTCGTATGGCATTAAGTCACGTATTCGATTAGCTCGAAATGCCTTAAAATTCCAGCAAATCATTTATCTAAGAAGCTTCATTGTTGGCGGTTGCTAGATAGTAAGTAGGGATAGTAAGTATTCATCGCACTCATTTTAGAAGTAGAAAGGATGAGACATAATCTTGTAAAAGGGGCTAAAACACACTGGCATACATATGTGTGTAGCTATGTATGTATGCCTATTATATTTCACTCTTGAAATATGAGGGTATATATCCTGTATCACGTAGGTGAGGATGCATATTGGCCTAAAACAATATTGTCATAAATCGTGGAAACATGTTGAGTTCATGTGGAAGTGCTCGTAATAACTTTTGAGCTTATGGTGGCTCGGCTTGGTTCAATCAGATAGTATGTCTGTAGAAGAAGTTTTTATGAATACTATGCAGCGAATATTCTCATACTACCGTGTCTAGAGAAACAGTCAGGCGGTTGAGCTTTCACACTTATTTTCTCATAGTGGAGAAGAGTTCCGAGTCCCTCAGAATCTCCGCCGGGCTACCAAAGTGTACGACCCTACCATCCTCAAGTACGACAATCCGACCATATTCTAGGGCTGTCTCGAGACGATGGAGGACAGATATAACGGTTTTGCCTTGCAACTTGCGGCCTATGACGGCCATTATCTTCTTTTCCGTTGCTACGTCGATGCTAAAAGGGGCGTTGTTAGTAACACACTTGGCTATTTTGATAAAGTAACCTATTGTCATGAAAGACTTCTTACCTGCTAGTAGCCTCATCAAGCAAGATCACGCCTCCAGGGCGTCCCCCTGCGCGCAAAATCGTCCGCGCGAGCACGAAGAGCTGCTCTTCTCCCGCGGAGAAGTTAGCGCCGCTCAGATTGCCCTTGAGACCGCCTGCTGCGATGATGTTATCTATAATAGCGCATTCGCGCAACACTTCTTCGATAGATTCGTCCGAGAACGAGCCTTCAGGGTCTAGGGCGTCGCGCACACTCTCGCCTTGCGAGAAGGTATCCTGCGAGACGACGTGAAACCTTGACCGGAGTAGGGAGCGCGGAACCCGCGAGATGTCAATATCATCGAGGAGGACCCTGCCTTTGGGGCAGTCTATCAAGGCCAGGAGGGAGAGAAGCAGCGTCGACTTGCCCGAGCCCGTGCGTCCACAGACAGCCACCCTCTCACCGGCCTTAATGTGCAAAGATATATCTCGTAGACCCCATGCGGGATCTGTTGAATCATCTGTAGTGTAACTAGCGTGAAGATTCTCGATCTTCAAGTCTCCTCTTTCGGGCCAATTAGGGGAAACCTCTACAGGGGAGGAAACTCTTGGCTCCGTTGGTGTATCGTGCTCGAACGCTTCTATGCGTGCTATTGCACCGAGAGACGTCTCTAGGGATGTCCAGGAGCTGATGAAGTTCGTTAAAACGGACCCCAGCGTGACCAGATTCAGGAACGCAACGCCAATCGCGCCACCTCCAGCACGTCTCGTGGCCACTGCCACACCTACAACGACAACGGATAGGCCGGCTACTAATAGAGCTAACACGAGTCTCAGCCAGCTCTGTACAACGAGAAGCAGGTAGTTGGGTTCCTGGGTTCTATCGAGGCGTCCCCGGAGCTCAGTTAGCATCATGGACTGCCACCCGTGCGCCCTGATTGTAGAAAGACCGGCGTACGTCTCTGAGGCCTTGGCTTGTAGTCCTGCATTTGACTGTAGATCTAGTTGGCGGAGCTGCTTGGACGTCCGTAGATAGACATGTTGGATTAGGAACAGAGCCGCGAACACCACGGGGACGGCTGCCAGGACATAGACTGCCGCAACAGCGATCAAAATGGTCTGAGCGATGATGTCGAGTAACGAAGACACGGCATTTATCAGGTCAGTAGGGAGCCTAACATCAATAAATTGAAGGTCCTGGTTGAACCTATTGATAAGGTCGCCCGTATCAATGCCGCTGACGAAAACGAAAGTAGTATTTATGACAGCCTTGAGCAGTCTATTGTGTAATTCTGTACCCGACTTTGGAATGATGGTGAGGATCAAGTGACTGCGGTCATCGTGTAAGTACAAAGTACGTCTACTAAGATAGAGGAATGAAGGGGAAACCTACCCAGCCCAGAGGCCACTAGTGGCAAGGGGCAGTGCGCTCAGGAAAGCATAAAGGCCAATCCAATATCCTGTGGTATGATTCCGCGATGATGGATTAGATTCATCCGCAGACCAAAATTGTACCCAGACGGCTGTTCACAGAGAGACAAGTCAGAAAAAGAGTCATGGCCTCCGAATTTTGGAACGACGCACCCGGAAATCTCAGTGTGAAGGCAAAAATTATGCTAATCGCGAAGAATATCGTCACATGCGTCGCTCCGAAAGAACCGAAATAGGTGCGATAAACTTGGCGATCCCCGACTATTACCGTAGGGACAGTCTTCTTTTTCCCCCTTTCCTTTTCAGCGTTACCTTTCTCTAACCCTTTCGGGTCGCCACTAGGGGCTTTAGTTTCCTGGGCAGGGTCTGGTACTTGGTCAACCTTATGGTCAGGTTCTGGAAACGTATACGGGACCAAGCTCCCATCCTCGATGGCAACCACAGTGTCAGCAAATTGAGCTGATTGCCCTACGCGGATATAGTCAGCGCTTGTACTTTGCAAGTGTAAGAAAAGGGGGAAAGAAGTACAATCTTGAGTCACCTGTATAACTGTCGTCCCAAGCTGCGTAAGGAGACCATTTGTGCCAAATAGGTTTTCGAGAATATGTTTCTTCGTGGTTCGGTCAATCGCACTAAACACATCGTCCAGCAGTATCACAGACGGCCGAAGAGCAACAGCCCGAGCTAGAGCCTATTTCAAAGCATTAATCATCTGTGTAGTTATCACTCATCGTCTCCTATCATTGACTTACCAGACGTTGTCTCTCGCCACCGCTGATCCTCGCGCCGTTGCTGCCAACTGTCTCACTGGGTAATTTTGCGTCGAAGAGTTCTCGCAGAGCACATGCGTGAACAACTCTTTCTCGCCATATCTCATCATCTGGAGCGCCTCTCACAACATTGTCGCGGACGGCACTGTTCTCTACCCACGGGTTTTGACCGCAAAATGCGATTATATTGTCCTTCACCCTGATCTTTCCTGATCTTGGCTGTGCCTCACCTATAATAGCTTGCAGCAATAGAGATTTTCCACTGCCGACAGGTCCGGTAATGACGACGTGATCTCCTTTGCCGACGCTGAGATTGACGTCTTTCACAAGGACCTTGTCATCCCAGCTAAACCAGCCGTTGATTATTTCAATCACTGGTTCAAGAGGCCCCGACATTGGATCGCGTTTCTCCTGTCCATCTGCTGTGCCGTCGTAAATGGGAATGCGCTCTCTAGGGTCAGATAATTCCTCGCTCTGAAGAAAGTCCTGGATACGAGTAAAGCACCCGATTGCTGCCCCTATATGAGAAAATGTCTGCAGTAGAACGACCAAAGGGTTTGCAACAAGATTTATGAGAATGAGTGAGCTAAAGAGCCGGTTCGGGTCTAGAGACCTGCTTTGCGCAGCTGTAGCCCCTATGTAGGTGCCAAATACCACAACCGGTGACAGAGTCAGTGTTACAAATGCTGTCAAAAAGAATTGATTAGATATATATAGTTATATAGATCGTCCACGTTCTGGTCTACTCACATGAGAACAGGCCGGCGACAAGCAGCCTGCGGAACGACTTCGACGCCTCAAATTCCAATTCTCGTAATCTGGTGATCATAGCGGCTGCTTTCGAATCGGCACCTGTCATCTTGATTGCTTTCAATGATGAGAGCATGTGCTTCGTAGCTTGGATGCGTTTCTCAATGGCCCCCATCCAAGCCCGTTGCTGGACAGCCGAGTGTTTTCCAATGTAGACGGAGGCGACAGTACATACTATACACGAGGATTATAAGCTATTTTGCATGTTTTGATAATCTGGTGAGTACACTTACTCAAAACGATGCCTAGTACCGTGAGGCTTGACGGTCCTACCTGTCGCCATAAGAGCCATAAACCGACCCCTGTCTCGATGGGCGCAATCCATATTTCTTGAGCGAACCCAAGAGCAGTCGTGATACGTTGCAAGTCTCCAATGATCAAGGTCAGAACCTTCGACCCGGCGCCCTTCTCTTGTTTTATCTTGAGCATTTTGTGACTAATGGCCATGATCAACCCGCCTCTAACCTTGGTTGTCATCCTGTAAGTCACATAATAATACCATCCGGTCGCGATCTTTGAATTCCACATTAATAAAAAGCCCAAAGATTGCCGAATAACTCGTTAGATAACTTACCGCAATTCCGGTATAGACGAGGAAAGTTGCGCCGATAAGCCCATATCCATTGTTTTGGGATGAATCGCGGCCACCTTCGAGGAACTCGATGAGCGACGACGCCAAGAACGGTTGCGTGAAAGTGAAGGTGCTCAGAGCGAGCCTAGGCAGCACGGGTGCAAATGCATAGAGTCCCAAAGACCGAAAAGTCAGTGTAATAAGGCCATGCCGTCCAACTAGAAGTCTCATCAGTACCAAATTCTACTCTTAATGAAAAAAAAAAAATCAAGAAACCCTGGTTCTTAATTACATTTCTTAGTTACCAGGATTCGGTTGAAGCTGGGCTCAAGCTCCGATGTCTTGAGACTACTGTCAATAATCCGGAGATCTGACTCGGTCAGTTGTCGTCGATAACCGACGAAGAACAGGCGGTTGACCCAGGCGAAGAGACTCGTGCTCAGGAAACTCGCGCACTCCTCAGGGTTGCCGCGGCTCGCAGCATCGATAAGCCATCGGCGCTTACTCCAGCTCTCGAGCGCAAGAACGGCGAGTTGAACAGCCAACGAGGCAAAGTGACGGGAGGCAATGGCGATGTCGATAAACCGGTACGTGCGCACGACGGCGGCTCGCAGCAGGGCCGTGATAACAAGGTAAAAACCAATGATATCAGAGGGCCCAGCAGAACGTACATGTTCCACATGCGAAAGCACAATCAACGCCACCGACGCAACGAAGCTCAACGCCGCAGTCGCAACGGTGATAGACGTGCGACCCCCTGAGCCAAGGCACGTGACTATCAGGAGCGTCAATTCGAGAGCGGCGAAGATGACAACGGCAGCCTAAGGTAGCAATATACCGCGTGAGCAAGAAAAAAAATCGACCAGGGTCTAGATCTCCAAAACCCCATGGGGGAAAAGTAAATCTTACGATCTTGGCAAAATACAACACGCCTAGGCGAGTCTTCGGCTCAGCTCGCAGCAGCACAGCGACGCGCGCACCAGCGACGAGCAAAAAGAGCGCCGAAGGGAGGAGTGTGAAGAAGAGTTCCTCGAAGAAGAGCGTAAAGTCGAAGGCTCGACGGCATGACGCGACGGCTGGGCCGAACGATGCTTCGGCGGCGAAGGTGCAGTCCATGAATCAATTGTCAATGAGCGTGAAAGCCAAAGTTCACATAATACTGACCGAAAAAAAAAAAAAAAAAAAAAAAAAAAAAAAAAAAAAATATTTATTATAGGAGAACCACAGATGGTTTGTGCAGGAATTAAAACACGATCGCAAATACAATAGTTAATTGTAACACGGAGCGCCAGGA